GTAAAACACATGGGTTTGTGGGTCAACAGTTTTATATAGATTTATAAATTTTGAGTATAGATTTTAAAGCATACAATTACTCTATTTACATTAAACTCAAGATTACGTACAAATAATGTACACTGTAAAACATTCCGGATCAAATTACGGTACAAAGGACCGACTCACTGAGTGCCGATACTTTTTACCTTAATTGATCCGGTAAACGCAATTAAAAACGAAGTGCCTACCAAGACATGATTTTGTTTTTAAATTTGTTTCAAAATAATTTATGAATTAAGCAAACTTATAAAGTTAATTTCACCATATCTATTAGGTAGAGTACACTGTAAAAAATACTGAAAATACTGCATAAAAAATACTCTAGGGTGCTGTAAAAAATTCCGAATCAGAGTATGGTATGTAACCGTAGAATGTACCGGCACTCGAGGTGTCGGTACTTTTTACCGATTTTTCTTTTACCGATTACTTTTTACCATTTTAACCGAACAAAGAAATCTGATATACCGTAATTTACATACCATACTCTGAAAAGAAATCTGATATACCGTAATTTTTACAGTAATAATTACCGTAAAATCACTGAAGCACTCAAAATAAATAAATATTGCTGTAAAAATTACAGTATAATACTTTGCAATAAAAATAAATTTTGTATAAAAAGTGCCGGTATTTTATACGGGAAATAAATTCGGAATTTTTTTTCAGTGTATGCATACGCAAGATTATAGATATGCTATGTATGAGCAGACAAAATTATTAAATACGATGTATTTATTGTCAAAATTATATATATAAAAATTCATTGAATCAGAGTGAATTGAAAAAATGATAAGAATAACTACAAATCACTTTCCAACTGAGCGCTACTCACTATTCCCACTTCCTTAGTCCATATTCTTCGAATATTGAGCTCAAAAGACAACTGATTTTTATTGATCTGGTATTGAGAGTTCAACCTCTATATTATAAAAAATTCCGAATGTAATTATTACTGCCGGTTTAAATTACCAACACTTTGGATGCATCCTCAATAAAATCTATTTTATAATAAAATACATTTTTACCGTAAAATATTATACCGCAATTTAGTATATTTATTTAATAAATAATAATATTTCTTATATTAATAGTAATATTTATTATATTAATAGTATTTATTATTTAATTATAATGATCCCGAGGATTTTGCGGTAATTATTATGAAGATTTTATGGTACGGCTGATGTCCCAAAAGACTTCTTCAAATATTGAGTTCAAAACCGAATTGATTTTTATTGATCTGACTTTGAGAATTTGACCACAACATTTAAAAAAATTTGGATCAAATCACGGTATAAAGTACCTTTACTTGCGATGCATCATCGGTAAAATCCATTTTTACCATTAAATATTGTACCGTAGTTCTAACTATAACATTTATTTAATTGGAGTGCTTCAATGGTTTTACGGTAATTATTAGTGTAAAAATTACAGTATATCAGATTTTTTGTTCCGTAACATGTTACAGTAGGAATGGATTTTCCGGTAAAAATTATTAGCCGTTTAAGTGCCTTTACTTTTTACCGTAATAGAATCCTGAATTTTTTGCAGTGTATTTTATTGTTAAATTAATTACTTCTTATGTTTAAAATATATTCATATTTTATATTAAAAATACATTCACGTTTTGTGATTAAAATATATTTATATTTGGTAAGTAAAATATATTCACGTTTCATATTTAGAATGCATTCGCTTTTTACTTTTAAAATGCAAGCATATTTTATATTTAGAATATGTTCATATTTTTTATTAAGTATACATTTTTGTTTCTTATTTAGAATATAATCACTTTTTATCTTTAAAATGTAACCACCGCATATTATATTTAGATCATGCTCGTAATTTTTATTTAGTAAACATTTATATTTCATATTTAGAATATATTTATATTTTTTATGTGGAATAATGCATTCACATTATATATTTAGAATCCAGATGCACGATAGAATTTTATTACTTGAAAAAAAAAAGATGTCTAATCATTAAATACTCAAAGTTAATGGTCAACCGAATGGCACACAGTAATTCACTTTTAATGTACATAAAAATATTTTGAAGAAGATTATATATTTTATGTTTTCAGTTTTCACGCATTTTATATTTAGAATATCTTATAGGAATACACAAAAAATTGCTGCAAGAAATAGTGTATAGCAAATAGTGCCAATTACAAGGTTCGAAGAACACAAAACTGTCTTTTTTTCCATTGAAAATATACGTTTCTCCCACGCTGACTCCAATTGGAAAATATTTAAGTGAGAATTTCCGTACCTAACTTACCTTTAACCTCTTTTCCCATCTGTAATTCTCAAGAAAAAAATACATTAAAACAATATTACTGTGGCCGTAATTCAAATATAAGTTGAATATTTAAATGTTTCACACACTCTCACCTCAAAATTTAATTGAATAATTTATTCTTAATGAATTTAGTCTATATAAGTAAAATAATCTAGTGATAGATTGAACTTTTTTGTTACTAAAATATTCATTTTTTGAAGGCAATGCAGTTTTAAAATTATTTTATTAGATAATACAAACATTTTTTTAGGAAATTCTATGCATATTTAAGAAGATATCTAATAAAACGTTTTTATTGCATTTATATATATAGAGAGAGAGAGACAGAGTCAATAAAGAGTGAAAGAAAGGAGAGGGGGGGATTTAAGATTTATTAAGCTTATTAACTGCGTATAAGCTGCAAATACATGAAATCCATAATATAACATAAAATCGCAAAGAAAAGAAGAATAGAAACGTAAAAGAAAAAAGGGATTTTTAATCAAGAGAAAAAAAATTAATAATAACTTTTTTAAAAATAATAATGAGAATTTAGATAACTTAGATAAAACCAACAACAAAAAGATATAATCTCGCTGCCTACTCACACGATTATATCTGCAAAAATGATGCTATTGTATTGATATGTTTTGCCTTGGCAATAATTAGTGCAAAATTAAAAAGCACTATTTATGTAAATTTAATCGTAGGAGCTGATCACGAGTTTATACTTTTCTGTTGTTATTTTTTCTAATTTATAATGATTTATTTTCTTAATTCTTAATAATTTTTACTTTTTTGCTTCGTTAGTAAATGAACTTTGGAGTTAGGCTGCGGCTGAGCTGTGTTTTGTCTAGTGAGGCTTCATTAGTGTATCTAATCGTGCCATCCATTGTGAGAGATGTGAGATACTAGACAATTTTTGTGCTAAACAACTCAATAGTGCAGCGTGCATTAAGAACGTAAAACCGTGACTTATTTAAAATGCTATTTTTGAGGAACTATTTGACCAATTTCACTGAAATTTTGTATTTTTCAATTTAAAATTACATTTTTCAAAATGATGCAAAAAAATTTACGCCTAACTATTAAAATTTTTTTGTGACTATCATTAAATAATATATGTTTAACAATAATAAATGGTTAATAATAATAATAATAATAAATGTTTACTAAAAGTTATATTTTGCATTGAGTTCTCTTTGGATAAACAAATTTAATAACTGTGTGCTAAAATTTTCTATTCACATAAGTTCTCGAGGTATGGTGCAATACACAAAAAGTAAAATGAATTAAAGTAAGATAACATTGAGGGTGCAATCTTTGTATCGCTCTTCTGACCAAACTGCCCAGATTGCGACTACCTCTTACATTTTAAGGATTAGAAAGGCAAATCCGCTGAAAAAAACATATTTATTCAGAGAAAATACGTTTTTGTGTTCGATTTCGTAACCTAAAATATCGTCCTCACTAATTAATTAGCGTATTTGAGGTTCCCTCCCTGAACCCTTAGAATTGAGTCGTAGAGCGTGAAGATACGATCATTAGATTCCGTTTTTTATTTTGAGCAATGTACCTTTGACGAATGTTTCTTACCTATTTTCCTTGCAAGGATTCATTCACAAAAACTATACAGGCACTATAAGTAAAATTATATACACCGAAGAGTCATTACATTATGACCACCCTCCATCTATAACAATGGGCTCGCCCAGGTTTTCATGGTTTCTCGCCCTGGAACAATGTTTTAATGGGGCACATTAGAACTCATAATCCTCATAGAACAATCCCTGACGTCTGTAAGCTACTTGAACATAGTTGCAGACCAGGTTCATCCATTCATGGCAACAGTTTTTCCTGCGGGGGATGGTGTTTACCAACAGGATAATGCACCATGTCATAAGGGTCGAATCGTCATAGATTGGTTCGAGGAACATTTCAAGGACTTTCAAGTCATGTCTTGGCCCCCAAATTCACCTGACCTTAATCCAATAGAGCATTTGTGGTCCTACTTGGAAAACCAAATTCGTGCTGCCACGCTATCCCCTCGCAAAGTGAGGGAATTGCAGGACCAGTTGGTGAGCGCTTGTTACCGGATACCTCAGACTATCTATCAGCACCTTGTGGAATCAATGCCAAGGCGGGTTCTAGCAGTTTTGAGGGCAAATGGTGGCCCTACGTGTTATTAGCAGGGTGGTCATAACATAATGGCTCTTCAGTGTATGTTTCCTTCAAATTTTCCAAGTTATGGATTTCTACATGAAAAGAAAAAGTAAGAAGTGAAAATTTGTTCAAACTACAACAACCATCTCCTATTCGAAAACTACCACCTATAAAAATTGCCTTCATAAGTAAATACATTTAAGAAGTAAATAAACAATAAAAAATTGTGTATGTGGGTCACTTTGTATATCATTTTCTATTATTGTATAACAAACACAAAATTAAGATCAATATCTCGCTCGAAGAAAAAGTTAACGAGGCGTAAAAAATCTCTGTTTTCTGCTGTAGTCAATCACACAAACTTCTCCATTGAAAGGTCAACGTAAGATCACTTTATTCCAATGATTATTCGCAATACGTAGTTTGAAACACATACTTTGAATCATTAAATGATATCTTATATGCTAAAAAATAATTAGCGAAGACACCCTAATTATATTTTTTGTTTTAAGGGAAATATTTACCGTCTGGTATGACATGGAGGAAGAAATTAAAACGAAAGAAATATTTCTTGGAGGCACCCTTAGAATTGATTAAAACAGGGAAGTATCTGACTCCAACATCGTTTTCTCTGTTTTCGAACGTAAATCTATATAAGGAAAAGCTCACTTTTTTGTAACATGTCTGAATTGTTTGTAAAAGTTATAGCTGTATCCGTAATAGCTGTGGAAATTAGAGCATCCGTTGTTTTCAGTTCAGTTTTGTAATTAACTTGGAGATGAAAAAAAATTATGTCTGTTTCAACGGGTTTCAATAAGTTATGAAGGTATTTGATGACTTTATTTCTGAAATTTAAATTAAGACGTGACAGAAAATATATATGTTCTCGAATTATAAATGGAACAATCAGTTTAACTAAAACATTCTCTTTTATTGGACAGAATAGTAAAGAAACGGGATAACATAAGTGTTTGATGAAATACTGTAAACTTTTGTCATAAAATTTGTATATAATATCAGTGAATAGACTCATTATTTATACTTTCTGATTATTTCATTATCGTCGTTATCGCGTAATCATTTTATATGTATTATTTCATCGAATGCAAATATTGTATAACTGGTATAAATTTATTAATTAAATACTGTTTAAAAATATAACTCCAAAAAAAAGGCCAAAATGAAAAAAAAAAAAATTTATGTAATTAATTTAATTTTTTAATATTTCTAGTAAAATGACATCCTAAATTCCTTAAGTTTCATTATATTTCTCTGAAAATAAATTTAAATAAATGAACATCTGCTGCCTGTAAAAGTTACCCATTAAATCTAATGCATTCCAATATTTAGAAAAAAAATATTTTTATATCTCCATTTCTTATTAAAAATGTGTTATAATTAGGCGTTTCATTGAAAATTATACATTATGTATAACTTACAAATTTTCGTTATTCATTTACACAATCGTTTTCTGATGAAATAATAACGCAATCAAGAGAATTAAAAAACGTGAACATTTCCTCGTATACAAAGAAATTTCGTTATACATAATATTAAATTGGGGAAAAGAATTATTTTGAAAGCGGAAAAGCTATATTTAATTTTAACATCATTTATAAAATCGCTTGCTAAAATTAATTACATGCGAAAAAAATGCATAGGCAACACCAATAAAATTTTGCTAAACTTTCTGTTGCGCTGTAAGTAAATGTAAGTTACAATGTAAAAATGTAAATGTAAATCTTTCCATTTCCTTAGTTCTAATTTTATCATCTAGTTTACATTAGTTAATTCCTACTTAAGTTGAACAGCAAATTATGACATGGTCCTTGTGAGAGTTCATATTCCTTTGAGGAATTTGGTAGCTCAAATTTCGATTTCTCCAAAAGCAGCAATACTTATCAAATAACGTCATTTGTTTCATTACTGATAAACCTGATTTTCATCAGTTATGTAACATACATTTTATTGCTACATAATCAATTTATGTTATCATCAACTACGATTTTTAGATCATATCGTTAACATATCTTGAAATGCGTAAGTAATTTACTGCCCGATATATCATCGATCATAATTCAACGTTGAAAATGACGTAACTAGATTTAACGTTTTTGATTTTTCCTTTCTTTTTTTTCAAAAAAGAACTTAGTTTTAAAATATCCAAAATGCCATGAATGTTTTGAGACTATTTTCAGCAATAATTTTTTACGCTTGAAATTTCTTTCAAATTTCGCGTTTACTAGAAAAAACTATATTCTGCGCATATAATGTTTGAACACAAAATATCACACGGAAAACTATATGTTGATACATCTGGATGCATGTTGATACATGTTGAATATCTGGATGCAAAATATCGTGTGGAAGAAATGCGACTAGCAACCAAATTTTGGCTCATAAAATATCACAAAAAAAAGTCATGGACAATTTGTCTTTTAACATGAAATCTTACACGAAAGAACTTATTAAATGCATGAAAAAATCACGCTATTTAAAAAACCTTCTAAAAAATGCAAGTGGGCAAAGTTTCAGCAAGCGAAAACAAAACTATCGTGGACGTTTTCTAGCCAGACGGAATTTCGCTAAGAAATAGTATCTCTCTTAACGAAATTTTGCAATCCGAAATATCAGATGGAAAAAAAATTGATTTCGTGAACATTCTTTTGGTGTACAAGTATCACATTAAAAAACTGCTACTCGCAAAAAAGGATAGTAAATAGAAAAAACATGCAGCTGCCATTTTCTTGACGCATGGAATAAAACAATACATCTCGCATAACAACAATTAGCAGTATAAAATATTATAAGGGGAAAAAATAAATATTAATAGTTGGTCAAATTTCTACACATAGAACATTTAACGGGAAAAAATATATCATAGACAACCAAAATCTTACCACCACTATCATTATGTGGGCATTAATGTTGTAGGAGGAGACAAATTTTACAATACAGAACGTAAAGCAAAATTTCGTAGTATGGAATATTGCAAAAAAAAAAAAAAAGAAAGAAAGAAAAGAAAACAATTTAACTAAATTTTGCCTTAAAATTCGTCTTGGCAGTACAAAATATTTCAAAGAATAAAATATTACATAAGAAAATATATCTCGTAGAGGAGCTATCACCCTACAAATATCACACAAGAAAAATGTTTGCTATAATCTTTAGAGAGAATCTGCAGTTTAAGCTACGTAAGTAATGATTTATATTATTTTCCAAACCAGTTGATTAGGCATCTACTGTAATTCATTAAAAATTAGGAAGCATTTAAGAAGTATTTTTCTAAACATATTTTATATAGTTAAATAGTAAAATTAAATACTGTGTATCATACGGTTCAGTTGATTCCTTCCCTTTTTTCCCCCAGTGTGCATGGTCAGCAAGAAATGTATGTCGTATAACAAAACATCTAGTGGATAAAATTTTTAATATTGACCTCTTTTTGAGGAAACCAAAGGAAAGTCAATCAGAAAATAGAGAGGAGAAAACTGATGGAGGATAAAAACAAATGACACAATTTTTTCCGCAACAAATTACTTTCCATTTCTGAAGATATCAAGAAAAGTAAATCATTTGAGAAAAATCTAAGAAAATAAAACTTTCTGGATGCTATTAAAACTTGATAAAAAGCACTTCGCGCTTGAATCTATTTTTTTCACACGGCACAACATCCACTTTATTACTTGAAAACTTCTGATTGATTTCTTTGACTATAAATAATAGTTATGAACTGTAATAAATATATATATATATATATATATATATATAATGAAAATTCTTTTTTAAACAAAATCATACTATCTAATATAATTTTATTTATTACGTGACACAGTTAGCTACTTGCAACTTTCTTAGCTTTGATAAACTTATTTCGCCTTGTTTTTTTTCAGTCTATTGCTTATAAAATATACATACGAATTCCGGTGTTTGTATTTAGCTTATAATGTATTTTATTTGATGTTTTTTTTTCGCAAATGAAGAAAAAAGGAAAAGAACGGTCTATGAACATTTTTCACAAAAATGTCCGTAGATCATCTGTTGCATTTTGAGAATTACTAAGTTTTGACAAATCGATACGTGAAAAATTAGTTCTCCCTGACAGTTATTACTCAGTGAAGATATGCCGTAACATGAAAGAGACTATTTCAAAATAATTTTTTTCCGAATTAGCTTTTGTGGGCATAGACCGTTTTTTCCCCGTGGTCTTTAAATGTTAAAATAATTGACAAAAATGCATTTAAATATTATATAGGAAAAATAGTCTCTACGTTTTTTACACATTTTACTAACTATAAAAAGAAAAATAATTTTTAATAAAAAAATTGTCATAGCAAATCATGCTTAAATTAGAGGAAAGATTTACAATTAAGCAAAATTAAAATTGATTTTAGAGTTACGCTAGTTCAATGCTATATCGTTTCTAATGTTTAAACAAAGCAAAATGTTGGTAGTATTGAATAGTTTGCTAAAACAATACTGAATTATATACAATGATATTGAATCATTTCTAAATCGAGCATACTTAGAGCATACAATTCATACTTAGAGCATCAACCTCAAGCATACAATTCATACTTAGAGCATCAACCTTAAACATATTTGAAATCAAATAATTGTCAAATCAAATCAATAAATAAAATAAAAAGTTACGAGATAAGGAGAAAGAAGTCTTGCACGACTATATAATTGTCAAATCCTTTGTTAAACAATTTTTGCAACAAATAAGATAGGTAACAATACTTTTACTAGGTGTTAACGCCCTGATAATAACACATTAATTTTATGTCATTCTTTTAATTAGACTACATATAAACTGTTTTACGTCTATGTAATCTTATTCAGGTCAACTGTCTATAATTTGTAATTACATAAACTCTATACAAAGACTTCTTCTAACAATGCAAGTTTACCGAACGATTAAATGTAATTATGAAAGTTATTATTACCTCATTGACAGATTCAAGTTCTTGATTGATCTGTCTGATGTGTTTATGAAAAGGAACGTAATAAGAAATGAAATAAGGCGTTTATTTTCTGCTTAAATAAAAGTTTTTCTTTTCTTTTCTTTTTTGAAAAAATTGTATTTTATGTTACTCAAAAAGGGTATAAAACATTTGACTTCAAATTTTCAATAAACGAAAAAAAAAATTTGTTTATGTTTTTGAAATTATTTTATGATTTCAAGTCCTTTAGTCAAGAGATAAATTTATAATTTCTATATGTTCTACATTATCATGCAAACACCGAATATCCCAAAAATGACTGACATTGAAAAATAATTTAGGGAAAGACGGATGAGATAGAAATGTATAGTTCGCGCTCTACTCAAGAAACTAGATATTTTACTCTCAATAAGTTTCAAACTTTTTTACAAAATCTGTCAACAGATGGTATTGTAAGATAGACAAAACAATGTCTTGAAAATAACCACCAGTTACTTCAAAAACAAGGTGTAATCTAAGGACAAAACTAACATACGCTCTTTTATATATTTTCAGCAAGCAGTGTAGTTTAATAATTTTTCCAAGTTCACTACGCCATCTATTGATGAACTTTGCTTTGAAAAAATAGTTTGCGATTCTATTTCTAGATAGTTAAGAATCTGCAAAAAAAAAAAAAAACCACAAAAGTAAGAATGTCTGTTACATAAAGTATTTATTTATTCATTTTAGCTTACTAACAAAATATTATTGGTTAATACTCATATTAAATAGTGTGTACTGAAGGATATGCATGGGGTTTTTTAATTGAATATTATGAGTAAGACGCTAAAATTTAAAATGGCAATAAAAAGGAGCCCGAATTTAAAGAGGTTTTTTTTTCTTGATAAGTATAACATACGATGCGTAAGTTTGGAGACATTTATTAAACTTACAATAAAAATATATTGCATATTATGAGTCTAATAAAAATTTGAAACAACGTATTGGGGGGGGGGGGGGAATGAAAGGGGNGGGGGGGGAGGAATGAAAGTGGAGAATGTAAGAAACTTTTGAAATTACGAAATATCATAAAGATTCACAATTACCTCTAAAAAAACGGTGAAATTTACATTAAATATCTTAGCAACAATAGGCAAGACGTTTTTTTTGAAGTCATGGTTAAATCATTTACGCGAGGTCTTTCGTATTTTAAATATCAAATTTTTAATATGAGTTGCTATCTTAAAATTTGATCAATCACAACCAAAATTATGTATAATGAATGTATAAAGTTGACTAAATATTTGAATACCTGCAGAATTTAGTTTACTGAAATAGTTGATAAACAAACCAAACCAGCAATTTTCAGTAGATTTTTTATTTATAATGTAGATTTTCCTATTTTAGAACCACTGTTTCCTATTAATTTTTTTATTATTATGATTTCAATAATACTCGAGGGAAAAAATTCTGGTAAAAGGACAGCACTGTATAGTAGTGACTTTTCTAATAAAATTTTTAAAAAAATTTAAGAATTAAAAAAAAAAACTGAATTCTGGTTAATTAAATTAAATATGCGGTACTTTGAAAATCTCATTTTGTTATTTCAAGTTCATATAGTAATGGAACTATTCTTGTTTTCACAATTTTAGTTCTTATCACATCACATTCAGAAAAAATTCAGAATTGAAAAGTAAACTTCACCGAATAGGAGGTTTTTTAAGCCATGTTCTAAGGTATCATGATATAATTACCAAATTTTATCACACATTATAAAACCATATTTTATTATTAATTTTACTAAAATTATTACCAAAGCATTTCGGTAAAAATTACAGGACTTTTTGGCGTTCCCATAGAGCCAGAAACACGGTAATTTTACCATATTCTGGTAGTTTTGACCATACCTTTTTTCTCTGTGTACGCACTCTTTTCTTCTCTTCAATTTTCAACATTAGTCGTAAGTCAATGTAAATATATATCTTTAGTAAATATATAGGTCACTCACTCCATAAAAGGATAGGAATGAATCCAATATCAAGGAAAAATTTCCTCAGCGACCTTGACCTTCGGCACTTGTTTTCTCCATAACATTGTTATGTTATTCTGTCACTAATTTTTGTTTTTTATAATAATTCATTCCTTATAATAATAATGAAAGTAGCGAGGTCAAAGAATTGAGGTAGAAGCAACCTAGTTTCGATTTGCCAATTTCTCAGAAATTGGTGCTAATTGTTTACTTATTATTATATACAACAATACGTTTCAGGGTTCATAATATTCAGATATATTTTTTTCTTAATTAGATCAAACAGAGCTATTTATTTGCTTTTTGCATTAAAATTTAAAAGACATAGAACTATTATGCATACACAAATACTGAAATAGAAAACCTGTTCGAATCTGTAATTCCGTTAGAGGGCAATCGTTAAAATTATGTGTACGAGGCAATAGGGACAGATTTCACAAATTTACTGTAAATTCCGTACACTCCCGTGAGTAAAATTTGTAACAACTGCACATGCTCGAGTTTTTTTTTATTATTTTTTTAATTAATAAATTTTTTTATATCCTTTGTATCTCTACGTTTTGTTGGTGTGGCTTTACAAAGCTATAAGCACGCTGTTCATAGCTGTTTCCTGTTTAAGTCTACTTTCGAATTAATAGATCGAGAAGAACGCCAACACAAAATGAAAATTTATGATTTATTAATACAAAAGGTTAAAACGAAACCTGCGATTTTACAACAATTTGTAGATTTCACAGAAATATTTTTTTTGTTGGTTTTAGTTTGAAATTATGATTCCCTAGTTACGCTAGATTCATTAGAAACTAAACATTTTTTCGCTATTTAAAATTATCGAATATATTTATTTTAATTATACAATTTAGTTGGAAGAAATTTTACTTCCATACTATCCACGTCCATTGTAACTGCTTATTTTGATTTGGTGGAGAAAATCCATTACGTCATCGTTTTTAACTAACAGGTCTTTGCGAAATCTTTTACATTCATTCACGTAAATTTAAGTTTTTTCATGGGCACATGCGCATTTCACCTGCGCATGTGCTTTTTCAAGTGCTTGTACGCAGTTACATCAAGCCGTGGTGGCTTAGGGGATAGAGCGTTAGCCTTCCGATGACTTGAACTGAGTTCGAATTCCAGCGATGGTTGGGCTATATGATTTCCGCACCGAGCTCACACCGACCACAGTGCTGAAGTAAAAATATCCTCTGTGGTAGACGGATCATGGGTTAAACTCCGCTTTCCGTCAGACTAACCGTGGGAGGTTTCTGCGATTTTCTTCTCCGTGTAACGCAAATGCTGTTTAGTTGCATCAAAAAAAGTCCTCCATGACGGCAAAAATCACCCAATACTTGAACCAGGAATTTCCTTGTCTTCTGGATCGGGTTCAAAATTACAAGGCTACGGAGTTGAACATTAGTAGTCGTAAACCCAAATATTCGGTCAGCTATTCAACGTCGGTTATTAAAAAGAAGAAAAAATTAAGTGCAAAAGCGTTTAAAAAAACTTTAAAAAAAACGTAAAAGAGCGAAATTTCCCTATCATGCAAATAGGCTTCTTATTCTAACAAGTTTTATGACTGAGATTAGCGTATTAATTAATTAATTAATTTACAAGTAATTTTACCATTCGTGAGATTTTTCAGTATAGTATAAATTTGTAAAGCTATCAATCGATTTAAGGAAATTGGGATCACGACATAAATATAGAGTAAGGGTTACCATGTTTTGAATGTCATCTTCAATTTTTTTTTTAATGTTTTCAGCAAAAGTTAAATGGATATGCTAATTAAATGGTAAAACGCACAAGCCATATTGTAAACAGTACCACTACAATAAAAAGCATTATAGGTATTGTGTTTCTTTAAGATAGAACAAAAAATAAATAGGAAATAAATGTCTTCTTCCTATGTCTATAGAGTTCTAAATGTCTATAGAGGTCTCTAACTTCAAAAGACAAGAACATGGTTAATAAAAATAAGCCCATTACTATTTCTAATTGCGAAATTTAAAAGTATAACATTTTTAATGCGTTTAAAATATTTAATTTTTGATTAATTTCCTTCACAGGCATTTATCTAGTTTAATAAGCCAACATTTCAAAAATAAAGAATATTTTTACTATGCGAGCAACGTTTTACAAGAGCTGCATCAATAATTCACAAGTTGTTCCCATGATTGAAGGAGTTGTTCCTGCAGCAAAAAACGAAAAAAGCGTGCGCTAAAAGTAACTGCACATTTCTGTTTTGAAATTGGATGCGTGTCTTCGTGTGAGAAAGACAAGATTACCATGTGTGCAATATTGACCATGTTATAAAATTGGCAACATCGAGAGAGCATATTTAAATCTATATATCTTATTATTTTAATTTTTTCATCAAAAATTTACAAAAGTATTCCCCTTTGTAAGAATAACTAAGTAAGTAAAACGAGTGCCTTATTTTCCACAGAAAGCTAACATTAAAAAGGAAGAAAAAAGAAACTATCTATCAATCTTATACAATCGTAATAAGTACGAAAAATACTTAATTTCAGTATTTTTGAGGAGAAATAATAGCTGACAACTATTGAAATTTTGGTTGTTTCTGCTGTTTATTGTAATGTTAGGTTGCTTCGGTTGTTCCAAACTTAGGGGTTTTTAGAGGTATGTTTTCCTATGAAAGGCCATCCCCACATGTAGTACTTCATTTTTCTTTATAAGACTGTAAACAGGTTTTCAACTCCCCACTAGTGTTTAAAATTCCTTCCCTTTATCTGACTGAAGGTTATACACTGTTTTTTCTTTCTTTTTTTTTCCCCTTTTGCTGTCTTATTATGTTTTCTACTTTGAATGTGGCATTTGGCATCATTACTCTTTTGAGAAGACGAGGCACTTAAGAACTTGCAGGTTTTATCCCACGACATACAGGTAAGCGAAATAGTTTCCTATTAATTAAATAGTTTCCTATTTCCTATTAAAAGTTTTTATTTTTGTTAACATTTCAAATATACTAAACCCTTACATTTCATAACAGAATAAATTAAATTCGAATGAAAAATTTCAAAGAAAACGTTCCTGATTTATACAATAATGCACTGAGAAGAGAAAAAAAAGTATGATCAAAACTACCAGAATACGGTAAAATTTACAATGTTTCTGGCTCTATGGGAACACCAAAAACCTCGGTAATTTTTACCGAAGCTCCTTGGTAATGACTTTGGTAAAAATGGCATTAAAACATCATTTTTTATTGTGTGATAAATGTGGTAAAATTTGGTAATTTTATTATGAGACCTTAGAGCATGGTATAAAAGCCATTTATTCAATTAAAGTTACCTTTTAAATTCACTTTTAAATTTACTTCAATTAAATTTACTTTGTAGTTTTACTAAATGTGTGGTATTTGGGAACTATAATTTTCAAAACTAGAATTTCATATAAACCAAATAAATAATTACCAAATGAATGGTTTAAAAACAGTGTACTTTTGCTTTATTAAACAGAATTTTGTTTGGTATTTTACCAGAAATGTCATTACCATAGTGCACGATAATTTTACCAAAATATTTTTCTCCGGACACAAAAAAAATAAATAAATAAATAAATAAAAATACAATTATAATTTTCATATATGAATACTTTGCTAAGAAACTGCTATCATTATGTGCGGTCACTGTACCTAGGTAAATTATAACAGTTCTTTTTGGACTTCATTATTTTTATACCAAGGAAATTCAATGATAGACGTAAATAACTCGTTTAAAACTCCTCGTTTCAACTCCAAAACTTTTAACAAAATATCAACCAATTACAAACTCGTTTTGAGAAAGCTTTTAACATTTATTTTAGAATATAAAAAATAACTGAACAAGCTTTCATCATATAAAAAAGTATTGCCGGATTAGTGAAACATTACATAGATAACGAAAAAATATGTCTAAGTATTATTGACACATAAATTAGTTTTCACTACTAATCTGAAGTTCCTAAGTATTATGAAAAGTATGAAATTTCTTAAAGTTAAAAATTATATAAAATTCTTCATTGTTAATAAAATTCCTGAATTTTTCATTGTTAAAAATATTCTGAATGTTAAAAATTATATGAAATTCCGCAGTGTTAATAAAATTCAGGTATTTCTCATTGTTAAAAATAATGTAAAACTTGGAAAGAATCTCTCAAAATCCTTGCTGTATAAGAGAATCTACAATTACATAATGCCTAAGTCGAAACAATCATTTCATTTATACTTACAAAATAAGTGAAATAAACTTTCAAATTTATTCAATTTAAAAAATTTGGAAAGTAAAATTATGACATAATAGTAAAACATTAAAATACTTATTCAACTACAATTCTTTTTTTAAAAAATGCATAAATACGAGTTTTGCAAAAAACAATTTCATAAAATTTTAAAAACCTCTTTATATTGTAAGGAAAATAAAATAAATTCGGAAAACTAAAATATATCTTTTCTCAGTTTTCCATACTATTTTGGCAGATATATTTTTATATCTCAGTAATATTTTAAATAAGAATAGTAATAAGAAGAGTAAATTATTTTTTTTAATTTTATAATAAAATAATACAACTAGAAAGACATTATTCAAAGCAAATTATTTTACTGCTATAATATTTGAATTAAATAAAATATACTTTTTTTTTCACATTTCCGAAAAAATTGCATGCAAATTTATTACATATTTTAACGTTAAAAAAAAAAGCTTTACAACAGTTTTTATAAAAATAATCTGTTGGACCCATCAGTCTATCACTTATGACATGTGATATTCTTCTACATAAAATAATAATAAATAAGTTGGCCTCCTATTTAAAACAATGTATATAGAAAAGCATAATTTATAGCGCATCTTTAATGTGATAATATTTGAGTTAAATAAAATATACAACATATTTATATAGCTATTTCAGATTTTTTAAATAGCTTTACAACAGTTTTCATAAAAATAACCTCCAATCATAGTTTTTACAATAGTCAATAACATCTGAATGACACAAAAACAGAAGGTCTTACATCAAGAGCAATAAATACAACAGTTCCAAAAGTCAAATACAACAGACAGCTGGTAGGTTTGCTAAAAAATTGTGTTTGCATAAAACGTCGTCAAACCCCGAAAAACACTTCGAGGCAAGAACAGTGAATGTTGTCCTCACCTTTAGTTCTTCAAACTTATTTATTCAAGAATGTTATAACATTAATACGTCGATGGGAATAAAACGCTCAGCAAACAATGTCAAGACGTTCAATAAATCGAAAATAAACTCAACCAAGCCAAAATAAACGCCAATAGATGTAGTGATTTTTAGAGTATATGTGTTTGAGATAAAATGAAAACACATTCCATGCGGTTATCATAATAAAAAAAGGTATTAAAACATCAATAAAACTTCTACTGAAGTGTAATAAAACTGATGACTTGTATTAATATAAAAACAGTTACAAGACTATAGCTTTTAAAAAAAATGCCTAAAAATAATTAATAGTTTAGTTTTGAAAAACAGTGTTATGTAATATATATATATATATATATATATATATATATAGAAAAAAACATAATACAGGGTGTCTATAAAAGAACTCCGGGGTTTTAAAAATTCATATCTCACTAACTATAAAAGATAGCAAAATTTAGTCGATTTCTCTGAAAAGAGTAGCTCAAAAAGTTTTACTCATACCAATTGGGAATGTTTGTATCAACTGTTGGCGGCGCTGCAGGGCGTTGACCTTGAAATGACGTCGCGAAATTTGAAATGATGGCGACTCCGCAACAAAAGGCTCAATGTGTTATTTGGCTCATAGAAACGAAGTCTTTAGTTACCGTACAAAGAAACTTTCGACGTAACTATGGTGTTAACCCGCCTTCTGACAAAACCATTCGTCAATGGTTCAGTGCATTTAAGGAAACAGGAAGTGTTTTGAAGCAAAAGTCGCCGGGTAGGCCGAGTGTGTCTCAAGAGAAAGTGGACAGAATCCGAGCTTCATGCCTTCGAAGCCCTAAGAAATCGTTGACAAGATGCAGCCTGGAGTTGGGGTTACCAAGATCTCAGGGAACGAATAGTCAATTGTGTGGCA